AATGATATGTATAAATTATAATAATTTCTTATTGTATATATTAATATTTTATTATTATATATTAAAAAAAATATCTATTTTTTATATACATTTATATTTACAGATTATTAGGTCCGCATCCAAATTGTTACACGTATTCAAAACGACTTACGGAAACATTGGTGGCCAATGAATACCCTAATCTTCCGTGTATTATTGCTAGACCTTCCATCGGTAATTATCGCAATGTTTAATATTGGCTATAAGAACTAATATTTTGCAAAAAACTATGAGCAATCAAATTAAAAAATGGTTATGTTGCGCAGTATTTCCTATTTTATTGGAGCCAGTCCCAGGATGGGTTGACACTTTAAATGGAATTGGAGGCATAATTGTCGGCGCAGGCAAAGGTGTTATTAGATCGATACATTGCATACCAACTTATTGTGCCGAAATTATTCCAGTCGACATTGCAATTAATGATTTAATTGTCTTATCATATATGATTGGTACCAGCAAAATAAAGTACATACTTCTATTTTGTTTCATTAAATGCTTTTTTTTTATATTGCATCTAAACAACAAATAAATTATAATTATTGATGTGAACAGATCAAAAAGCATACCAGTGTACAACATAACGCAGGGAAATGTAAGGCCCATTACATGGGGTGAAATGTTAGAGAAAGGCAGAAAAATCATTTATGATTATCCTTTTGAAGGACAGGCTTGGTATCCGGATGGTGATATACGTACCAACAAATATGTGCACAACTTATTTGTCTTTTTCTTTCACATCATTCCTGCGTATTTAATCGATTTTCTCATGTTGATATTTCGACAGAAGAGATTGTAAGTTTTTGAAGTATCTTTTTATATATTTCAATAAAATATTTATTTTATTTAGTTATTAATCTTAATCTTTGCTTTTCGGCTTTGAATGGCTTCCGGTTACTTTACATTGTACATTTTACATATTACGTTTTACATTTCACATTTTTACATTTTTACGTATGACCCGAAATATCTTTCATTTTCATTTTAACATAGTAACATAGTAACATTTTAACCTTTTAGCAGTTTGGATATTTTAACGTTTTGTAATATCTTTTATCATCTTTTAACATATTTTAAATAATACCGCTAATACTAACTACTATATATTTATGTTATGTTGTCACTGTTCGTATTCCTAATATTGCTCTTTTCCTCTTTCTCGTCACTCACAGTTCGTACTGTGTGCCCTTGCATTTAATATCACTCTGTTTATCCTCTATTTATCGCTGTTTCTTTGGTATTCTTCTTTCTTTGTTTTTCTTTCCTCCTTTTCTATCTTTTTCTTATCTTCAATTCCTTTTTCTTTTATTCTTTTATCAATTTTCCTCATTACTACACAGCCTTTTCCATCTTCTCTTAAGAACTCTTCTTCTGATATTTCTTTTTTCGTTTTGTTGCAGTTCTTCAATACAAGTGTTATATCCTTTATTTCGACTCCGCATATTCAGCACATCTTTTTCTGCTCTGTTAGCCACTGTTGGTTCCCCTTCATTTCGTTCCCGCATCTGTATCTTGCTATCTTTGTCCTTTCTTTCTTACTTTTCTTTCCTCTTAAGTATGCCGGTACTTCTTCTGTTATTGCGTTTCTGTAGCTGACGTTATACCTCGATTCCTCTATCTCTTTCCATCTTTCCTCTTTATCTTTCTTTTTTATTCTCTCTACTTTTTTTTGCATATCTCCTTTATCTCCTTTCTCTCTCTTTTTTTTTAACTCCTCCTTGCTAATACCCACGTCTTGCATCACTTCTTTTCTCCATTTCTCTTACCTACGTTCTTCCCTTCTCTCTATTGTTTTCATGCACTCTACCACTAACTTCTTTTTCGATTGCCGTGCCTCCTCTTCATATTTCATCGCTCTTTGTGTAGCCTCCAGTCTTAATTCCTTCATTTTTGTCTCCTCTTTTACAATATAGTTTGGCGTTCTTCTATCCAATCTTACTATCCACTTTATATATGTTCTCGTCACTTTGTCCAATCTTTCTTTTTTCTTCCACCCCCATATCTTTGCGCCGTAGAATGCCACACTGCTCACCAACTCGCTGTACATTTTCATCCTTTTTCTGTAGTCCTCTTTGAATAGTTTTTCTCCGATGCTCTAGGTTTGCTTCATCGCGATCACCGCTCTTCTCATTCTTTCCACCACATGTTTCTCTGCTCCTCCACTTTTCTGCAGTATGTATCTTAAATACCTTATTTTCTTCACCTCTTCTATCCTTTTTCAGCAAACACAGAATATAACTGTTATATAACATAGAAGTAACAGCATAATATACGTAATATAACAGCTGTTAGACTCTATTAACATCGATGTCATGTAACTTTGTGTTATAAATGTAATATAATTATGTTATATATCTATTATATTGCTTGTTATTAGCTGGTAATGACAATATAACTTTTATATAACATTTCTGTAACTTTATAACAATTATATTACATTCTACTTACATGTTATATTTGTATTTCATATGTTGATATTTCAACAGAAAAGATTNTAAGTTTTGTAAGTANTTTTTTATATATTTCAAATTCGAGATAATCATANNNCTGTAAGAACNATTTGNAGGAATGCATGGTGTGCATAGAAATAATCATAATATTAATTGTCCAGACGTTTCGATTACTTTAATTGAGTCATCATCAGTGGATTGCTGATAAGAAAATTACAAACCAAAACAAAACAAAATTACAAAAAAAGTAACAAATTTAGTCCGCCTTTTGACAAAGATGTAATTTAAAATAGAAAATTGATTCGTCAACGTACCTCAACTTTGCATCTCCTCAGTATTTACAGTCAAATGACACAAAGATGTTATTTGCGTGCAAAAGATTTCTACTGAGGATATTCAAACCGAGGCCCACATTATAAGTACATAATAAAGATCCATCTGTCGTGAGACAAGATAACTAGGTAATTTTATTTAAAAGTGGAAGATAAGAGTTATCTAACAATTCTATATCACGCATAACATTAATACTATTAGAATTTAGTTTTATATATAACATCTCGGAAGTTAGTCTTTTAAAATAATAAGATTCAATGTCAAGCACATGAGACGAACTCCAATTAAAAGAATGACCGGTATTAAGACCATGCTCAGAAATGACAGAATTATGTTGGAGAGAAGTGACAGAATACTGATGTTCACGAAGTCTCGTTCTAAGCTGTCGTTTTGTTTAACCAACACAATTAGTTAAATAACATAATTAATTTAATTTTTATATTTTTTAATTAAATGTTTGTACATCTATTACATAAACTTACATACAGTAACATATAGTAACTCTACTAATATTGAGCATTACAATTTTGACTTCTCAATTATGAAGCCAATAATTCTTCTCGTTATTGATAAATTTTTCGAGTATCATATTCTTGAGAAACTGCGCAACTCGTAATGTGNAGTCTACTCCNATTCTAAAANAATGAGAAACATATATCTTTTGTCTTTTCTTACCAGTTGAATGCTAACTCAAAGAAAAAAAATTTTTAATAATTTGTAGAAAAAATCTGTTCTAAGCGCTTAAAATTATTGAAATTGTACTGTAAACTATNATTAGCAAAATNNTTGAAATCCTCTTGTAAAATATGATATGTGGTAAAATTGTGATATTTTTATGTTTGATTTCTTTTTGTATTCTTTCGCGAATAGTATGGTCAGAATTCAAAAGCGAATTTCAGTCGGTCTGGAAGTATTGCAATANGATATTTTTATGTTTGATTTCTTTTTGTATTCTTTCGCGAATAGTATGGTCAGAATTCAAAAGCGAATTTCAGTCGGTCTGGAAGTATTGCAATATTTTACCACGAGGAATTGGAAATTTTGTAACGATAAGGGGATTGCAATAGCCAACAAACAATCACCAGCAGATCAAAACCTATTTCCCATTGCAATTCGTCATCTTGATGAAGACAAATACACTATGGATATAATTCTTGGAATACGGCAATACTGTATGAAAGAAGATCTATCTACTTTGCCAAAAGCCCGTCGTCATCAAAAAGTGTGAGTACTTTTAGTATTACACTTACTTTATTTAAATTCCATTCGTCGAGCCCTAGAAAATTTTTTGTCTTTTCAGTCACGTCTTCTTAAGAAAAAACTAAACATTCTCTGGTTTTGAATGAATAATCGTATGACAAAAAAAGAAAAAGTTAACGCTGTTCACGTTGTGTCTTTTGTTCAAACTACGTGCTTTGTCTCTGAATGTGCAACTGTCTAGACATTTGTTTCGATTATAGTTCATATTTCATACGTTTGTTTCAGAATGTATGTTATCCATATCACGACGGTGTGTCTATTTTATTTTGGAATATTCTATTGTATTTACAACACTTGCGAAATAGTGAAAATCTTGGTGAAGTATGTTATTGGAAAACTACAATCACTCGTTTTTGCATAATTGAAGAGATACATGGAAGTTTAAGATTTGTTATGATATATATTAGTATGCAAGTTTTGGAGCGCACATAGTAAGAAACAAGAATTCTTTTAATATTTTACACTATGTATCCATTACAATAAGGTTTTTGATGTATTTGTTAATATTATTTATAAGTGTAATTAAAACAAAGAGTCATAAGTATCTGTAAAAATCTGTAAAAATCTATAAAAAAATGTATTTTTTCTGTAAAACTGATTGCAATAAAAATTGCAGCACTTATAAAAAAAAAAAATTTAATTGATAAATATACTCACATAGCACGTAATATTACTGCATTATCACAGTAAAATTGCAATATATCAATAATATTACATATTATAATATAATATTACAATAATATTATCGACATATTACATTTATGTATAATAATGAAATATTACGGTAAGATTGTATTGTATTTCAAGTTGCAATATTATATATATAAAATGTGTTTATTATGTCTTCTAAACGTTAGAGATGTTATTTAACGTGAATTACTGTTTGGCACGTTGCATACATTGCATTGGACTATAAATAAAATATTTTAAAAGTAATGAATTTGTGTATGATATGTCGAATATATTTTTTTCAGTAATATTAGGAATTGGAATTAATTCGTAGCGTTTTTTTAATGAAAAAAATTATTTATTTTAAATGAAAATCAAAAAATACAATTATTAAAGTATTGCCCATCACTTTTTACTACTTTTGACCATCTTTCGGGCAGGGAACGAATACCGTGCCGGAAGAATGCTTTGTCTTTAGATGCAATTCACGAATCAACCTATTTTTGACAATCTTCGTAAGAAGTAAACTTCTGCTCAGACAGGCTATGAGCCATCGAACAAAACAAATGGTAATCAGAAGAAGCAACATCTGGAGAATACGGCGGGTGGGGTAGAACTTCCTATTTAAGTGTTTCCAGATATGTTTGTACCGGTCTTGCGACGTGCGGACGAGCATTGTCGTGCAGCAAAATGACTTTGTCGTGTCTTTTGGAGTATTCCGGCCGTTTTTCTTTCAATGCACGGCTCAAGCGCATCAATTGTAGTCGGTAGCGATCTTTAGTTATGGTTTCATTCGGTTTCAGCAGTTCATAATAAATTACATCCCTCTGATCCCACCAAATACAGAGCAGGAGCTTAGACCTATGGATATTCGGCTGTGCCACTGATGTTGATGGTTGGCCGGTCGTAACCCATGATTTTCTGCGCTTCGGATTGTCGTAATGGATCTATTTTTCATCACCGGTGACAATTCGATGCAAAAAACCTTTTCTTTTCTCCCGTTGAAGCAGCAGTTCACACGTCAAAAAACGCTTCCCCGCAAAAACACTTTGGTCGGCACAAATTTTGACATATTCAATAAATTATAAAGTGTTGATATTTACGATTCAAAAGAAGATTATGTAAAGCAAATGACGTCCAATGACAGCTGTTTCACGAAGAATACATTACTATAGGTAACAACGTGCTATGTGGGTATTATATTTATTTACCGACATAGCATGTAATATTACTGCAATATCACAGTAATATTGTTTTTCGATTGCAATATTAAATTTTAATATAGTAAAAATATCATAGTAATATTACTGTAATATCACAGGAATATTAAAATGTCCGCCGAATCGCATCTCAGTAATATTACGATGATATATCACAGTAATGTTGCGGTGATATATTAAGAATATTACTGTAATATTGTAAGGTTATAAATTAATTTAATATTAAATTACTTCTAAGGTGGAAAATATAGACCGATTGGAGTTTCAACACGGTTGTTAATGTGTCAGAAAGTTATGACTTTATTATTAAAATGTTACAGACGTTTCGGCCGTAGTTCCGGTCTTTTTCAATATATCTATACAATAATAAATTTTGAAATCAGAAATGGTAATCGAAACGTCTGTAACATTTTTAATAATAAATTCATAAGTATCTGACACATTAACAACCGTGGTTAGACTCCAATCGGCCTATATTTTCCACCTTAGAAATAATTTAAAAACTTGGAGCCGTTCTTATTAAAACTACATTGATAACTTACTAAAAAAAAAAAAAAATTAATCCGAAAAGAAGATAAATCACTTCAACAGAGTGATCAAAGACTTCATGAGTTAAATTTTTGTATTAACTGCTCCGAAGTGCATAACAAAAGATTTCGTGAGAGAAATCATAAAAATGATCCATTGAGTCATGAACGTGATTACATATAGAAGAATATAAAACATTGTATTTAGATGTATTTTATTTAAATTGTTTTTTATTTTATTTAAACAATAATAAAAATAACTGCGTTATATTAAAGGATAATACTATCGTCTGCGTCCTTAATATCGCTAAAAATCAAGATAATAAATTTATATATTATAGGAACAAAATTGATATATAAAATAATTTATATATTATAGGAACAAAACTGATAATAATTTATATATTATAGGAACAAAACCTTATATAATACAAATTTGTTTCTTATATCATGCGAACCACATTTAGGAATCAACATTTAGAAATAGTTACAGTAAGGCAAAAAAGATATATAGAATCATAGTTTTGTCAAAATATTTGCGCCAAAGCTTATAAAAAATATCGTACCACGATAAATTTATTATCTTACCAATCCTACACACAATTGTACCTACATTGTAAAAACTATATGCATAATAAATTAACTGTAATATCATTTTAATATGAACTTTACATATACATACACGTATACATGCATACACATATGTATATATACATACACATATACATGTACATACATGTATACATATACATATACATATATGTCTATAAGTTTATAAATGTTACGGATATATTTTTCACATTAATAATTATTCAAACAGTACAATGCAAAGTGATACATAGGTTTGAGTAATACTACTGAAAAAGATATTCGTGACATACAAAAATTTATTAGTTTTAAAATTTTTTATTCATATTTGGTAAAAAAGTTTTCATATATATTTATACACAAATTAAAATAATTATATCTAATTATGCAAATTTATATGCCGAATATGTCCATACAATTTTATAAATAGAGAATTTCTTTTTTTAAGAGAATGACTTCAGAGATGTTCCATATCAAATTACAAAATAACTCTATTAGTATCATGTTAGATACAAAAAAATTGTATAAAACTATATTTTTACTATATTTTTAAAACATTTTTGATATATAATCATATATACTTATACACAAATTAAACTTATTATATCTAATTATGCAAATTTATATACCAAATATGTCCATACAATTTTATACATGGAAAATGTTTTACTGGGTAGTTTAATGCAATATATACAACGTGCCAAACAGTAAATCACGTTAAATAACATCTCTAACGTTTAGAAGACATAATAAAAACATTTTATATATATAATATTGCAACTTGAAATACAGTCTTACCGTAATATTTCATTATTATACATAAATGTAATATGTCGATAATATTATTGTAATATTATATTATAATATGTAATATTATTGATATACTGCAATTTTACTGTGATAATGCAGTAATATTACGTGCTATGTAGGTAATAAAGGTTGGATTCAGCAGAACTCAGCGATTAGCACGGCCTTTACAATTCTTGCTTGTCATCAATATATACTTTCATATTTGCAATACAAAAACAAGCCATTAGCTCATGCGCTGAGTTTTGTTGAACGCATCCGATATATAAGAAAACTAACGTAACAATTAACTAAGCACCACTAACGTCAAAACATCAGAAACAGACAATTTTTGACCCGCTTAGTGGTTTCGCAGGTTAAAAAGAGTGTGCGAGTAATATTGGAAAAGAAAAAGTGTGTGCTCGCAAAAAATAATATACTAAAAAAATAATATAATAATATAATATAATTTGTGGCGACTAAAACCACCACAAATACATTGAATATACGCGAATGCGTAAAAATTAATAATATTAGATTGGTGCAAATGAAATGGCCGTTTTTCGTATTTTGAACTTCTCGTCATTGTAGTTCATTTTTCTTTTATGTAGATAGCGCTGTATACCATTGTATGTATATCATTTGAAAAATACATATTCTACAGGTTAATTTATATACTACTTTACTTATTGAATACGGTATTAGTTGTTGAAACTCGCGTTTAAGTCAACATGGAAAATAACAAAATTTGTCTAATTTATTTATATGAGTTTACATTCCATCATAGTGCGGCTGAAGCAAAGCGAAATATTAATACCGCTTTTAGCGAAAGTTCTGCCAGTGAAAGAATGACGAGGCGAAAAGTTTCGGTCTGGAAACATAAACCTCGACAATTTATAATATATATATATAATAAAAAAGTATAAAATTTACACATAATAAACAAACCAAATTATACAAAATTCATTAGTGCAGAACTTTTCTCTCTTCTTAAATATAGTTTTCAAAAAAGTATTTTTACATAATATATATATATATAATATACAAAAATAACATCATGAATAACGATGATCCTGCAATGATTGCACTAAGATGATTCGCCATAACGCAACAGTTTTGTCGAAATAAACTTTTGTAAATAATAATTGTCAAAAATTGCGAAATAGTCGTTATGCACTTCCTTAAGTATATACATGAATTAAGTTGATTTCTTCGTATGCAATTATATATTTTAAACATCACATAGCTGACATTTTTCCTCAATTATTAGAAAATTTCTTTGTGAAATTAATTTTGCAAATATACCGCTAAGATGATTTGCCATATCGTTATTCTTTTGCCGAAATAGTATTTGGAAACTAATTTTGCAAACAACTACAAATATTTTATAAAAGATCAATGTTTTTCCATCTATTTCCTAAAATATATCTGTATAATTGCAAATTACAATTTTAGTGCAAGATTTCGTCACATAATTTTGTAAATGTTTTCCTATCAGGGTACTGATACCTAACTTTACAAAAGGCATTTTTTCACTGCAAATCAGTGATATTATCATTTCCCAGTAAACTTTTTTATCACTGAATCAATTAGTGAAATTTTAATTGATTCTAAGAGAGCGCAGTTTGGCCATAATACTTAATCGCTTTTTCTGGTTAAGAAAAATCAATTTTGTACTAAAATAAACAATAAATATCGTACGTGCATAATATTGTAAGTTATATTGAGACCTTGAATAAGTTCTCGCTGTTTTCCAACAGATGATTTTACCAGAACTGCGTGCGTGTAGTTTAAGATGGTATATATATAACGCATCTATAAGGAAGTACCATAGGCAAGCTTGAAATTCAGTGTCATTTCACCGAAGTGTATACAACGTTTTTTTTCATAGTCTTAAACATGTCGAATTTTGTGCCAAAAAAGAGTATTTGCGGGCAATTTTATTGCACTATTTTATTCAAAAAAAATCTGCAGCTGAAGCACGCAGAATTCTTGTTGAGACTTACGGCGACCATGCTCTGTCGGAAACAACATGCAGAGATTGGTTTAGACACTTCAAAAATAATGATTTTGATGTTGAATATAAAGAACGCTGTGGCGCACCGAAAAAGTTTAAAGACAAAAAATTGGAGGCGTTACTTCATGAAGACTCATGACAGACGCTGAACTTGTAGAATCATTAGGAGTAGATGACACAACAGTTTCGAAACGTTTGAAAGTATTAGGAATGATTCAAAAGCAAGGACATTGGGTGCCGTACGAGTTGAAGTCGAGAGATGTCGAACGGCGTTTTTTCACGTGTGAATAGCTGCTTCAACGGCAGAAAAGGAAAAGTTTTTTGCATCGTATCGTGACTGGCGATGAAAAGTGGATACACTACGATAACCTTAAGCGTAGAAGTAAGCGTAGAAAGTAGATCGTGAGGTAAGCCCGGCCATGCATTAACATCATCGGCAAAGCCGAATATCTATGGTTCGAAGCTTCTGCTCTGCATTTGGTGGGATCAGCTGGGTGTAGTTTATTATGAGCTGCTCAAACTGACCGAAACCATCACGAAAAATCGCTATCGACTACAATTGATGCGTTTGAGCCAAGCATTGAAGGAAAAACGGCCGCTAAACGAGCAGAGACACGACAAAGTGATTTTGCAACATGACAACGCGGCCACATGTTGCACAACCGGTGAAAACCTACTTGGAAACGCTTAAATGGGAAGTTCTACCCCACCCGCCGTATTCACCAGACATTGCCTCTTCCAATTATCACTTGTTTCGATCAATGGCACATGGCCTGGCTGAGCAGCACTTCCATTCTTATAAAGATGCCAAAAACTGGGTCGATTCTTGGATAACCTCAAAAGACATGTCGTTTTTCCGATGTGGAATTCAAATGCTGCCAGAAAAATGAGAAAAAGTAGTGGCTAGTGATGAGCAATACTTTCAGTGACATGTTTTTTACGACTTTTTTTAAATAAAGCACTAATTTTCACGAAAAATCAGCGAGAACTTATTCAAGGTCCCAATATTTTTTAATAATATACAAATATTGTAAAATTATTTAAACTTAAATATTATACAAACAATTAATTGTTGTAAAACGTATAAATATTAAAATATTTTACATAGACGTCATTTTAATATTTATATAATAATTATTGTCGATTAAATATTCAAATTTAAACCCAATTTTATGTATATTATGTATAAAGATTATGTATATATGTCTATAATTTGTAAAAATAAATTTAGGATATATGTTAATAATTCTTTATTAATCTAGCCGAACTGCAAGTCTTGCTTGATTTTTGCTCTCAATTTGCTGTCAGAATGTGTCGCACAGATCTTGCTTTATATTTGGCGTCAATGTGGTTTCGGGTTATCAAGCTTTGCTCGGTTTTTATCAGCAATTTGCTGTTATTTTTTGTCGACAAGCTTGGATATATTTCTGCTAGCAATTTTGCGACATCGGCAGATATAACAAGCTCTGCACTATATTTGATGCCTTTCTGCTAACAAACATTTGTTACAAGAATTTGGCAAAATCTGCTTTGACAGACTTGGCTATCTGAGGAATTAAAATGAACGTTCTTTATAATATTCTAAAGACTGTTTTTATTGCAATTAACTCACATACATATCAAGTATTTACAAACCATAAGCGCAATTTCACCGGCTGAATTGATAGAAAAAAAAACAATAATGTTCGCACTCATTTACAAGCTAACGTCACAGCCGAGCGTAACATCAACAACACACAGACAGATTTGTACTATGCCCAGTGTCTCTCCTATTCACAATGATCTCAATACTGGTCAGTTACGAGCAAATTATTTATAATTCATAAAAAAACTCGAGTTTTTTACGCAAAAAACTTTATACTCAATTTAATTATTCAATTCAATAATGTTCCGAGTTTTTTTTAATACTATATACCTCATTTCTAGTACCATATATCGAATTTTATTTTAATTATATCATAAAATATTCTGAAACTACAAAAATCAATAAATTGTTATGACTGCAAAGTCTACATGTTTTATATGATTATATTTGCATGAGATTATACTAAATGGTTTTCTTACGTATATTGTATAATGGTATAAATTATTATTAAAAAAACTTGTTTAAAAAACTTGTTTTTTAATAATAATGTATTTCACAAGTAATTATGTAATCAACAAAACAACTATGTGCAATTTATACATAAATCATATAAATACACCAGTAGAAGAAACATTTATAATCATTTTGCTAGTAACATTCGCCGGACTCGACAACGAACGTATGAATATAACACAATTCTTCTGATAGTGCTATTGTGTACAATTTTATCTAAGTTGTTCGCAGAAATAAGTGTTACAATAGAAAGATTGTAAGTAGAAAATAATTTTTTAATATAATGTTTTATAATTTTCATGACATTATATATTTTAAAAACATAAATTATAAGAGAAAAAATAAAATTTAAAAAGAAGGAATTAAAACATTAAATTGGTGAAAAAAAAGAATGTTTTTAAAACCTGGTAGCTTTTGGAAGAAGGATTCTGCAGAAATATATAGTGTATTTTCTTTTTAATCTTTGGTTACTTTTTTTAACGCAGCACGTGATTCTGATCTTGTTAGTCAATAATCTCTAAATTATCGAAAAACCAGACCACAATATTCAAGATGTTCCGGAATTGCCGTTCAATCTCTTGTGAGCAGATAGAAAAGATTATATTAAGTCAAACAGTTCTTTGCCAAGATTCGTAATAATTACCGAAATCTTAATTAATAAAGATTTGCGAATAAATGAGCATCATAAGAGTCAGTCTACAATGAAGATACTAAAACAGTAAGAGTAGAGAGTAAACTATTTTACGGTGAAGTAACAACGAGAATAACGGAATGAGTAGATTCTATTTCACACTGCCTACTGCCTTACTGTTAGCTAATGAAAGACGAGTGTTATAAAACGCAAAATAATTACTTGTATAGACAAAACTGATATAACTCCAAGAACCTTACTTCTTACTCTATACTGCCTACTTCCTTTGTAGACGGCCCTTTACAGCATGCTGAAGTGGTGGAAAAAATGCGCACAACAGCAGCGAGGTCTACCTGCATAAACTTACTGCTGTTGTGCGCATTCGGTTCACCGCTTCAGCATGCTGCAAAAAAGTCAAAACTGAGAACACTGGCGCCGGAATGTCGCGCCGTACGACAGCCCGATGCATGCTCACTCGCAAATCTTTATTCATTGAGATCTCAATAATTATTGCAAATCTCGAAAAATGATGACGAACTTTTTCATTTAATATAACCCACTCTAATTTCCAACAAGAAATTGTACGGCACTTACGGAATACTGTACACATAACATAAACAGGAAACTCTTGTGACAATTCAAGATTATGGACGAATCGAGATCTGCAGTTCAGTCCTTCTACAAGGATAAGATCATTTTTATTACCGGCGCTTCCGGTTTTATGGGCAAAGTTCTCATTGAAAAATTACTGTACAGCTGCTCTGATCTCAGTAAAATCTATATCCTCATACGAGACAAGAAAGACCGCAATTGGGAAAATCGATTTAAGGATATGTTCAACATACCAGTAAGAAATTGTTTTTATGTATGAAGTAGATATATTTAAACTACAAATTTTGCGAAAAAATAAATTAAAACCAAATAGATAAATAACTGTCTCGTATAAATGTTTCGCAATTATACGTATCAAATATTCAAAAATGGCTTTTTTGCTATTTTTAAATTAATCTTGTTTTTTTGTACACATATTTTTTACAAGAACTTCAAAATTATTTATATAAACTTATATTAATTGCACGGTTTTTTATTTAACTGATATTTTTACAGTTATTTCGAAGACTACAGGAACAGAAACCTCAAATTTTTAAGAAAGTAATACCACTAAATGGCGATATATTATCAGATAATTTAGGTCTTACTACCGTACAGCGCGAGTGTTTGATACAGGAAGTAAACGTAGTATTTCATTTAGCCGCAAGTCTTAGATTGGAGGCGAAAATGAAAGACTCTATCAAAATGAACACGGTAGATTATTATAACTATCATAAATATCAGTATTCACCGTAGCAGCTAGGTGTATTAATATTATTTTTAAGTTTTGTTTATTATTTTCTGTACTTTTAATTTCCCTATAACAAATATTAAAATAATTAAATGTGTGTGTCCAAAAACTAATTATACAAATAAATACTTGATATAATTAATATACAACTTTAAACTGCAAAGTTTTTATATTTTGTGTAACAAAATGAGTATATACGACATGATTAATTTAATTTCAAAAGATGGGTACACACACAGTACTAAAGTTGGCAAAACAAATGAAACACTTGCAAGTTTTCGTACATTTAAGTACGGCTTATTGTCATGTCGATCAAGACGAACTTGGCGAACATATCTACGATTCTCCTCATGATCCTCATGATATCATGAGACTCGTTGAATGGCTGGACGAAGAAGCTATCGATCTAATTACACCTAAGTAATTAAATTTTTATAACATTAACAATGATATGTATAAATTATAATAATTTCTTATTGTATATATTAATATTTTATTATTATATATTAAAAAAAATATCTATTTTTTATATACATTTATATTTACAGATTATTAGGTCCGCATCCAAATTGTTACACGTATTCAAAACGACTTACGGAAACATTGGTGGCCAATGAATACCCTAATCTTCCGTGTATTATTGCTAGACCTTCCATCGGTAATTATCGCAATGTTTAATATTGGCTATAAGAACTAATATTTTGCAAAAACCTGATGAGCAATCAAATTAAAAAATGGTTATGTTGCGCAGTATTTCCTATTTTATTGGAGCCAGTCCCAGGATGGGTTGACACTTTAAATGGAATTGGAGGCATAATTGTCGGCGCAGGCAAAGGTGTTATTAGATCAATGCACTGCACACCAACTTACTATGCCGAAATTATTCCAGTCGACATTGCAATTAATAGTATAATTTTCTTATCATATGTGATTGGTACCAGCAAGATGAAGTACATACTTCTATTTTAGTTCATTAAATGCTTTTCTATTTTATATCTACACAACTAAATTATAATTCTTGATGTCAACAGATCAAAAAGCATACCAGTGTACAACATAACGCAGGGAAATGTAAGGCCCATTACATGGGGTGAAATGTTAGAGAAAGGCAGGAAAATCATTTATGATTATCCTTTTGAAGGACAGGCTTGGTATCCGGATGGAGATATACGTACCAACAAATATGTGCACAACTTATTTGTCTTTTTCTTTCACATCATTCCTGCGTATTTAATCGACTTTCTCATGTTGATATTTCGACAGAAGAGATTGTAAGTTTTTGAAGTATCTTTTTATATATTTCAATAATATATTTATTTTATTTAGTTATTAAGCTTAATCCTTGTCTTTCTGCTTTGGATGACTTCCGGCTACTTTACATTTTACATTTTACATTTTACATTTTATATTTTACATTTTACATTTTACATTTTACATTTTACATTTTTACATTTTTACATTTTTACATTTTTACATTTGACCCGAAATAACTTTCATTTTCATTTTAACATATTAACATAGTAACATTTTAACCTTTTAACATTTTGGATATTTTAACGTTTTGTAACATCTTTTAGCATCTTTTACCATATTTTAAATAATACCGCTAATACTACTAACTAACTACTATATATGTATGTTATGAAATCACTGTTCTTATTCTTTTAATATTGCTTTTTCCCTTTCTTGTCACTCACAGTTCGTACTGTCCTTACATTTAATATCACTTTGTTTATCCTCTATTGATCGCTGTTTTTATGGTATTCTTCTTTCTTTGTTCTTTTTTCCTCCCCTTCTATCTCTTTCTTATCTTCAATTCCTCTTTCTTTCCTTATTTCATTAATTCTCCTCGTTACTTTACAGCCATTCCTATTTTCTCTTAAGAACTCTTCTTCTGATATTTCGTTTTTTGTTTTGTCGCAGTTTTTCAATACATGTGTTATATCCTTTATTTCGACTCCGCATATTGTGCACATCCTTTCCTCCTCTGTTAGCCACTGTTGGTTCTCCTTCATTTCGTTTTCGCATCTGTATGTTGCTATCTTTGTCCTTTCTTTCTTACTTTTCTTTCCTCTTAAGTATGCCGGTACTTCTTCTGTTATTGCGTTTCTGTAGCTGACGTTGTATCTCGATTCCTCTATCTCTTTCCTTCTTTCCTCCTTATCTTTCTGTTTTATTCTCTCTACTATATTCTCTCTACTATTTCTTGCATATCTCCTTCATCTCCTCTCTCTCTCTCTTTTCTTTTAACTCCTCCTTGCTAATACCCACGTCTTGCATCACTTTTTTTCTCCATTTCTCTCTCACCTACATTCTTCCCCTCTCTCTATTTCTTTCATGCACTCTACCACTAACTTCTTTTTCGATTGCCGTGTTTTCTCTTCATATTTTCTCGCTCTTTGTATAGCCTCTAGTCTTAATTCCTTCATTTTTGTCTCCTCTTTTACAATATAGTTTGGCGTTCTTCTATCCAATCTTAATATCCACTTTATGTATTTTCTCGTCACTTTGTCCAATCTTTCTTTCTTCTTCCACCCCCATATCTCTGCGACGTATAATGCCACACTGCCCACCAACTCGTACATTTTCATCCTTCTTCTGGAGTTCTCTTTGTATAGTCTTTCTCCGATGCTCTAAGTTTGCTTCATCGCGATCACCGCTCTTCTCATTCTTTCCACCACATGTTTCTCTGCTCCTNATGAGCAATCAAATTAAAAAATGGTTATGTTGCGCAGTATTTCCTATTTTATTGGAGCCAGTCCCAGGATGGGTTGACACTTTAAATGGAATTGGAGGCATAATTGTCGGCGCAGGCAAAGGTGTTATTAGATCAATGCACTGCACACCAACTTACTATGCCGAAATTATTCCAGTCGACATTGCAATTAATAGTATAATTTTCTTATCATATGTGATTGGTACCAGCAAGATGAAGTACATACTTCTATTTTAGTTCATTAAATGCTTTTCTATTTTATATCTACACAACTAAATTATAATTCTTGATGTCAACAGATCAAAAAGCATACCAGTGTACAACATAACGCAGGGAAATGTAAGGCCCATTACATGGGGTGAAATGTTAGAGAAAGGCAGGAAAATCATTTATGATTATCCTTTTGAAGGACAGGCTTGGTATCCGGATGGAGATATACGTACCAACAAATATGTGCACAACTTATTTGTCTTTTTCTTTCACATCATTCCTGCGTATTTAATCGACTTTCTCATGTTGATATTTCGACAGAAGAGATTGTAAGTTTTTGAAGTATCTTTTTATATATTTCAATAATATATTTATTTTATTTAGTTATTAAGCTTAATCCTTGTCTTTCTGCTTTGGATGACTTCCGGCTACTTTACATTTTACATTTTACATTTTACATTTTATATTTTACATTTTACATTTTACATTTTACATTTTACATTTTTACATTTTTACATTTTTACATTTTTACATTTGACCCGAAATAACTTTCATTTTCATTTTAACATATTAACATAGTAACATTTTAACCTTTTAACATTTTGGATATTTTAACGTTTTGTAACATCTTTTAGCATCTTTTACCATATTTTAAATAATACCGCTAATACTACTAACTAACTACTATATATGTATGTTATGAAATCACTGTTCTTATTCTTTTAATATTGCTTTTTCCCTTTCTTGTCACTCACAGTTCGTACTGTCCTTACATTTAATATCACTTTGTTTATCCTCTATTGATCGCTGTTTTTATGGTATTCTTCTTTCTTTGTTCTTTTTTCCTCCCCTTCTATCTCTTTCTTATCTTCAATTCCTCTTTCTTTCCTTATTTCATTAATTCTCCTCGTTACTTTACAGCCATTCCTATTTTCTCTTAAGAACTCTTCTTCTGATATTTCGTTTTTTGTTTTGTCGCAGTTTTTCAATACATGTGTTATATCCTTTATTTCGACTCCGCATATTGTGCACATCCTTTCCTCCTCTGTTAGCCACTGTTGGTTCTCCTTCATTTCGTTTTCGCATCTGTATGTTGCTATCTTTGTCCTTTCTTTCTTACTTTTCTTTCCTCTTAAGTATGCCGGTACTTCTTCTGTTATTGCGTTTCTGTAGCTGACGTTGTATCTCGATTCCTCTATCTCTTTCCTTCTTTCCTCCTTATCTTTCTGTTTTATTCTCTCTACTATATTCTCTCTACTATTTCTTGCATATCTCCTTCATCTCCTCTCTCTCTCTCTTTTCTTTTAACTCCTCCTTGCTAATACCCACGTCTTGCATCACTTTTTTTCTCCATTTCTCTCTCACCTACATTCTTCCCCTCTCTCTATTTCTTTCATGCACTCTACCACTAACTTCTTTTTCGATTGCCGTGTTTTCTCTTCATATTTTCTCGCTCTTTGTATAGCCTCTAGTCTTAATTCCTTCATTTTTGTCTCCTCTTTTACAATATAGTTTGGCGTTCTTCTATCCAATCTTAATATCCACTTTATGTATTTTCTCGTCACTTTGTCCAATCTTTCTTTCTTCTTCCACCCCCATATCTCTGCGACGTATAATGCCACACTGCCCACCAACTCGTACATTTTCATCCTTCTTCTGGAGTTCTCTTTGTATAGTCTTTCTCCGATGCTCTAAGTTTGCTTCATCGCGATCACCGCTCTTCTCATTCTTTCCACCACATGTTTCTCTGCTCCTCCGTTTTTCTGCAGTATGTATCTTAAATACCTTATTTGCTTTCCTTCTTCTATCTTTTTCCAGCAAACAGAATATAACTTTTATATAACATAGAAGTACCAGCGTAATATACGTAATATAACAGCTGTTATACTTTATTAACATCGATGTTATGTAACTTTATTTTATAAATGTAATATAATTATGTTATATATCTATTATATTGCTTGTTATTAGCTGGTAATGACAATATAACTTTTATATAACATTTCTGTAAATTTATAACAATTATATTACATTCTACTTACATGTTATATTCATATTTCATATGTTGATATTTCAACAGAAAATATAGTAAGTTTTGTAAGTATTTTTTTATTTATTTCAAATTCGAGATAATCATAGGGCTGTAAGAACCATTTGCAGGATGGTGTGCATAGAAATAATCATAATATTAATTGTCCAGACGTTTCGATTACTTTAATTGAGTCATCATCAGTGGATTGCTGATAAGAAAATTACAAACCAAAACAAAACAAAATTACAAAAAAATTAACATATTTAGTCCGCCTTTTGACAAAGATGTAATTTAAAATAGAAAATTGATTTGTCATCGTACCTCAACTGTGCATCTTCTCAGTATTTACAGTCAAATGACACAAAGATGTTGTTTGCGTTCGAAAGATTTCCACTGAGGAAATTCAAACCGAGGCCCACATTATACGTACATAATAAAGATCCATCTGTCGAGAGACAAGATAACTAGGCAATTTTATTTAAAAGTGGAAGATAAGAGTTATCTAACAATTCTGTATCACGCATAACATAATTACTATTATGATTTAGTTTTATATATAACATTTCGGAAGTTAGTCTTTTAAAATAATTAGATTCAATGTCAAGCGCATGAGACGAACTCCAATCAAAAGAATGACCGGTATTAAGACCATGCTCAGAAATGACAGAATTATGTTGGTGAGAAGTGACAGAATACTGATGTTCACGAAGTCTCGTTCTAAGCTGTCGTTTTGTTTGATTAACATAATTAGTTACATAACATAATTAGTTTAATTTTTATATATTTCATTAAAATATTTGTACATCTATTACATAAACTTACATACAGTAACATATAGTAACTCTACTAATATTGAGCATTACAATTTTGACTTCTCAATTATGAAGCCTATAATTCTTCTCGTTATTGATAAATTTTTCGAGTATCATATTCTTGAGAAACTTCGCAACTCGTAATGTGCAGTTTACTTCTATTCTAAAAGAATGAAAAACACATATTTTTTGTCTTTTCTTACCAGTTGAATGCTAACTCAAAGAAAAAAAAGTTTTAATAATTTGTAGAAAAAATCTGTTCTAAGCGCTTAAAATTATTGTAACTGTACTGTAAACTACCATTAGGAAAATTATTGAAATCCTCTTGTAAAATATGATATGTGGTAAAATTGAGATATTTTTATGTTTGATTTCTTTTTGTATTCTTTCGCGAATAGTATGGTCAGAATTCAAAAGCGAATTTCAGTCGGTCTGGAAGTATTGCAATA